GGGTTCAAACCCAGGCCTGGCCAAAAGCTGAAAAAAAAAAAAAAAAGTGCATACACTGTGTTCTGCACACCTGCTGGACATGATCCCAAAGCCAACTTTGAGCTTTCCGGGTACCAATAAATTCATAGAAGGGAATGGAACTAATTGCACGATTTGTAGTATGAATTTGCGTCTTAAAACCCTGATAAGTATAATAGGAGAAACAAACAGCTTATTAGAAGCAACAATATTGCTGTTCTGAGACCCAAGGAAAAAAATACTTCTAAATATACTTGAAAAAAAGAGAGAGTAACAAAGACTTTCATAGAACTGTTTCTCAAGTTAAAAGTCTTTGGGGAACACAAAATGATGGCATTAAGACCTCATTTAGACTTAAATTGTGAGTGTTGAAAAAAATACGTGGCTTGCATATCCTGAGGCAAGGCTCCATAAATAATATTTCCCAGGGAAGATGTACTAAGTTTGGAATGACTGTGAATTCAAGGTAATCTTGAATAATCACATTCTCTAGACGTTCTGTACTGCTGTATGTGTCAGGCTACCCCTGCACGATAAGGAGCCTCCTAGGAGTGCCAGAGGAGAGCCAGCCTCCTCCAGGGGCAACACGTGACTTGTGAATTACCAGAGACAACATTCTCAGAGGTTCCAGAGATGCGTTTATAAAATCAAAACTAACATAGAGGGATATCTGATTTTAAAACAATGATGTTTACGTGTGGCTCATAAATCATATTGCATTTGTTTCAGTTTCTAGTAAGGACAGTTTATAATATATGATCCATTAGGCAAGATCATTACCATAATAAGCACCATCTTTCTGACCTCAGAAGTGTGACGCCTTTACATACATGTGAAGTTATCCATGAGCTTATACAGTACGATGTCCTCCAGAAATGTAGGTCAATACTTTCCAGTTGAAGCAAATACAACATTTTGTTTTACCATTGTAAGTATTTTCAAAATAGGCAGTTAACCAAAGAAGATAAATAATAACTTTCTACTCTATTAGAATAAAGTTCTGTTATCAGTGGTATCGGTCATGTGATTATGGTTTTATGTTAAATAATGGATATATTTAACTTTTTATAAAAATAACTCCTTACCTATACTCATAAGTAAAGTTAAAATTATTTTTAAACAAAATTATTTACTTAAAACTATTTGTCTTATTTTAGGTTCCAGTTCCTTTGAATCGCAGAAGATGGAAAGGCCTTCCATTTCTGTTATTTCCCCAACAAGTCCTGGAGCTCTGAAAGACGCCCCTCAAGTCCTCCCCGGACAGCTTTCTGTATGTATTTTGTGCACGTCGGGGATGGTCAGCAGGCTCACTGTCTGGGCCTGTCTTTAACAACGTCTCCCTTGCCTTGGAGCCCACAGTGAATCCCTAGTCATTTGGTAATATCATCCACTCCATCAGTGTTCACTGCAGTTTTTACCTATTCCCTTCTTCACAGCTTTATTCAGAAATATTTCTGGAGCCCGAACTATGTGCCTGATGCTCTGAACATTAACTGATAAATGCAAACATGAGTAAAGAAATGATCCATTGTTTGTAGTGTGCTATGTAAAGGTTTCTAAGCTAAATATCTGTTTACTACATAATAAGTTTAGAAAGTCATATTCTAGTTACCTAATAAGCTTATAAGCCTGAGGCCTGAGAAATCTAAATTTACATTTTGTTTTTAACTTCCTAAGACATTGGGTGCAGCCCTCCACTGCCACCGGTGGCTCTCTGACAAAGCTACCGTTTTCCTATCACTGTTTTGTGACGTGGGAGAAGATGAAGTGAAGAAACCATGGTTCCCTGTTATGAAGGGCCAGATTGTGGTAGAAAACGGGATGTTTATATAATTTAAAGACTTCACATTGTCACTAGCTACAAATTATTCTACAAATAACAATCTTTTGCTCCTCTGGAAATACGTGGATTTCTGTAGTTGCTCTTTGCTGTTCTTCTTTTGATTTTAACGAGACAGAGTATATTAATAGCTTACTGCTATTTTCAAAAGCCTTATCGGTTTTAATTTTGACTTTTGGGATATTGAAAGTGTTTGTATATACCTGAGCTTATTTTATCTGCCCTTCTATCTTTTTTTTCCGATATGTGTATAAGTGTCTCTTACTCTCCACTTACATTTAAAAAGGGATGAAAACCTGTCTTGGTTTTGTGAAAAATACATCTCTGATATTAATTGGGAACCAGAGAAACGGGTTCATAGAGATCCACGTTTGAATTTGTAATCTGTCCTTTACTATGAAAAACCAATCTCATTTTAAATGAGCTTATTTTGTTATAATGGCTCTTCATCGTGTCCCCAATATCCATCCATCAAGAACATATGCTTATATTCCTTCTTCAACCATAAAATGAAAAGTAACCACTACATTAAAGGGAAGAAACATTGACGTGCACATTGTTAGTTTCAGGTGTCAGTACCACTGCCAGAGTGAGTTCTGTGCCGCACTGATGACTCTAAGTCTGACAATAGTCATTCATCCTGCTGTTTCCCTGTTTTTCTAAGCTGATATCATTACGCCTTTGCTAAATAGTGTGAAGTGGTTGGGACGTAGCATTTATGTATCATGCCCTCTTTGTTCTTTCCCCCTTCTCCCATGAAAATTAGCCTATGGTAGGTTAATTATAAAACTTACATAAGAAAAATGCCAGAAAACACTCAGCAGTGCCTGCTATGAAGTATGCCCACATACACGTGTTTCCTGATCTTTTTACATATTGCGTCTGTCATATTCCTAAGACAGGCAGTCCCAGGGTTGTGGATAAAATGGGTTCTGGAGGTTGGTCCTTAGGTTGAATTTATAGTAATTTGGAACAGGTGCTTTTACCTACAAACCTATAATAGTCCCCGTTTGTTAAGTGTGAATTGAACATCATTCAAATGTTTGTTTCTGCCTGTATTGAAAGAAACTCCTATTTTATTTCAGCTACCTGTGGCACTAGAAAAGCATTTAGCCACACCATAATCATGAAGAACTTGCAACCACCAAAGTCTCATGTTTAGCACTCAAAAACAAGGATAACGATTCCAGTATCCCCTCATCTCTTAGTTTTATAAAAAAGTTTTCCCATTAGTTTTATTTGAGTAGTATGATGTAGGAGAGTATACCTTCACACTGCATGTCTGCCAGTTGTAACTTTCATTTTTAGTGCTCGAACAAGCCAGGAGAGGTGGTTAATGCCAGTCATCCCAGCACTCTGGGAGACCAAGGTGGGCGGATGGCCTGAGCTCACAGGTTGGAGACCAGCCTCAGCTAGAGCAAGACCCTGTCTCTAAGAATAGCCAGGCATTGTGATAGGTGCCTGTAGTGCCAGCTGTGTGGCAGGCTGAGGCAGGAAAATCACTTGAGCCCAAGAGTCAGAGGTTGCTATGAGCTGTGATGCCACGGCACTCTACCAGGGGGCAACAAAGTGAGACGCTGCCTAAACAAAGTAATAATAAAGTGCTCACACAGAAAAGTCAAGTTATATAACTGGGTATGCTTAAAAATTGGTAATTTTTCCAGAAATAATATCTCCAATTCTGCTATATTGCCTTCTTCAAATATAATTTTAATATTATTTTATGTAAATTACAATGCCTTCTGGTTTTTACAAAAAATAATTCTTCTCTTCCTTGTTTTTAGGTGAAGCTGTGGTATGATAAAGTGGGACACCAGCTGATTGTAAATGTTCTGCAAGCAACAGATCTCCCCCCTAGAGTAGATGGGCGCCCCAGGAATCCCTATGTAAAAATGTATTTTCTTCCAGATAGAAGGTAGTGAAAATATTAGAAAAAAGTTTGCTAAGATCTATTCTAATAGAAAAGGTAGAATTTCCTCCTTGGGGATATATTTTTTAAAATAAAAGAGATACTTCTTTCTGAGGAATTTACTACATTATACCTGGAAAAAAAATTCCTTAAATCTGATGTTTATTTGAAAACAACCTGCCAATTTGAAAACTGTCCATTACTTTGTGTATCTATATCATATATGTATATTATACAGATGCATTATCTTTGATAGTGACACATCATTTAGAAGATCCCTTTGTATGTGTCTGTTAAGTGCTGCTTATACTATAAATGAAATGAGAATATTATTGAACTCTCCAGTCTTTCAGACTTTTAAAAAGTTATAAATTAAAACTTGGAATAAATCAGCGGCAGTGTTCCGCGTAACTACAGTAGATGGCAGCATATACTTGTTTTTGCTTTTTCATTTACAAAACATACTTATTTTTCAGTGACAAGAGTAAAAGGAGGACCAAAACAGTAAAGAAAGTCCTAGAACCAAAATGGAATCAAACCTTTGTCTATTCACATGTACATCGTAGAGATTTTAGAGAACGAATGTTAGAAATAACTGTGTGGGACCAACCGAGAGTGCAAGAAGAAGAAAGTGAATTTCTTGGAGAGGTGATGTATCTTGTAAAGATTCCGTTTAAATACTCAAGGAGGTTCTTGCGGGGTTTATTAATGTGATTGACTTAATTATGTTTGGCGAAGGCGCTTGACTTACTTAAGAATTGCCCTTTCAGATCCTCATAGAGTTGGAAACCGCGCTGTTAGATGATGAACCCCACTGGTACAAGCTCCAAACACATGATGAATCTTCACTACCTCTGCCTCAGCCATCACCATTCATGCCAAGGCGACACATTCATGGAGAAAGCTCTAGCAAAAAGCTACAAAGTAGGTTAAGGTATTTTTAGTTACCACAAAGTGATTATGTTGCAATGACGAAGTTTGAGATCAACATTCAAGATATTTTTTCAAAGGTTGCATTAGACATCAATGAATTAGAAAATTATTCATCTATACAAAGAAACTCAACAAAAGTATTTTTTCCATTTTTGCAATAAAAACGATATAAATAGCAATAGGAGAGTAATTTCTGTTCTGAAAGCTGAATTCTTGCACAGAACTGGTTGCTGGAGTTCTCTTGCACAGAACTGGTTGAGTTGTTGCTTGGCTGACTGATGAATAATTTCCATCATCATTGATGGATTGCTATGTGTAGGGTCTTAATAACTTCATAGTTCATGGGTATTTTTAGTGTTGTTATCCATCAGATTCTCTGTAAAACAAGAGAAAGTATGTTTATTGCTATTTTATCCAGTGATCAGGAGAAATAATATCCATGTTTTTAAATTAAGACTAAATCTCTGATTCAACAACTAAAACTTAGAAGCCTCATTTTAGTAATCTGGAACTGAATTGTTTTTCTCATATAATTGAATATTTTCATGTTAGTAATTCCCTGATAAATTATTTCCTGAAAATTAATGTTTAATGAAGTATAATATCTAATTTTGGAAGCTAAACATAAATATTTTATAAAAGGCCCTGATGCCCTTTCAGTAATATGGGCTCTTAATAACACTGCAGCCAAGAAAGGTCTCTTTGAACCTTTTTTCACTCAGCCTCATCCCCTCTGAACTGCAGAGGAGGACACTTAATTATGTAGAAAATAGTGTACTATATCTACCTTGTCCTAGGCTTTTAATAAAATGCTTTAATTAAAGAATAATCTGAAATGTCAAAACTCTTACTTTATAAAGTCTCTTTGTTTCATGTGTTCAGTGTAATATCACAAGGAGAAAATACTGATAAAACATTATCCTTAGAGAACAGACATTTCTTTTAAAAATAGTTGAATGTTTATTTTGTATTATTCTTATTGAAAAGTATTGAGTTTAACGTAATTAGCTTTCAAAAATGTGATCATGTCCTTTGCATTTCACAAACCGATCAGACACAGAGGTATCTCTTTGCCTTCCTGTCGTGCAGGGTCTCAGCGAATCAGTGATAGTGACATCTCAGATTATGAGGTTGATGATGGGATTGGAGTGGTCCCTCCAGGTGCGTGGGTGAGGAGCACGGTCCTGCTTCCCTGGGCTGCTTTGCTTGTTCACACTGTCATTTTCCAGACTTCTTAGGATACTAAACTGAGTATTCATAGCACAGAGAAATCAGTATGATATTATTCCATGGGGACTTAGGTTTCAAATTAGGAAAGCTTTAAGTAGTCTTTGTTAATTGGAATCCTTGCCTACTTACTCCATGTAGGCAGATTCTTCCTTAAAAGTATAGCTGGTTAGATTAAGTGAATAATTATTTCATAATGCTCTTGTGTATAAGTGAAAACTTAAATTTCATTTTGAAAGGATATGGTAATTTCATTAAATAAAAATTCCACTCTTATGCATTTCATATTGTATTTCTATGATTTTTCTTCCTCCATTTCTGAAAATAACGTAGCCTTCCATGGAATATACTGAGAAAGGCGCATGGCAGGGTTTAAAATTGCATGTGGCATGGCTATAACTCTTAATGCTTTTTGTGATGTGTTTACCCTTGATTATACCTAGAATGTATGTGCAGTTTTAAAATAAGAAAATCCTGTAGAAAGATTCACTATTCACCTAAAGTCAATGTCTTTGTTGTGTAAGTCAGTAAAAATTTTATGATGTGTAGTTTAAGTCTGATTCTCATCTGACTTTTGTCAGGAAAATAAGTAAAATTATGTCTTACTTTCTTGGCACTAATCATATATTATATTCTCAATTTACTAATGAAAGTCTTATAAATATTAAAATAAGAATATATTAAAGAGATAATCCTGCAACATATAGATATGGATTATTAAAGGTAATTCTTTAAGATCATATTGACAAATTTCACCTTAATTTGCATAATTTCTCAAATGGAGTCCCACTTCCCAACAGTTTTGGTAAAATTGAAAGATTCCTCACTAGTGACTAAGTTCCCAAGTTGGGGCGATGCAACTTTATAAAACTGGAAGAAAATTAAGGAGAGTTCTCTAAAATCAACTTAAAGAAAATATTCAAAGTTCCTGGTTTTGTTGGCTCTGAGGAAGCTTAAAATCTCAATTTGTCCTATGATTGCAAAATTTTGAACTTTCCAATACTGAAAAATCTTTAGAACACTTAATTTTAAGATTTGTTTAAAATATTTACTATCTTTTCTACTTAGGGAGACATGGCAGATTTTGAAAGCTATTGAGACCACCAGAGCTATATTTTGTTAACTTTATAGTCATAACATTATTGTTATTTAGCTGCTTAAGAGAATAAAAATAACCATATACAGAATGCCCTCATCTGAGGTGAGGCAGCTGGCAGCCGCAATATTTCAGTGAATTTTTGCAAATTCAGAAAATGGGAAAAAGAAATCTCTAACTCCACCTCAACTAAAACTTTGAGATGAACCTAAAAAAAAATTCCATCTCATTCATGGAAGGTAGATTACATGTTGTCAACAATAAATTTTAAATACATAGAGAAAATGAAATGATTTTTAAAAGCAAAGAAATATTAACGCATATTTATTTCAGGTTATTTAGTATAGTCAAATGTCAAAACTTTGAATATTATGACATATCAATGACATTCAAAATGACTTTGACTCAACAAAATAACATACATTGCCTTTATAAATTTAGAACTTACTAATGAATTCTGGAAAAAGTTACATTAAAAGTTGTTACTATAGAAAAATTTCTATTCAAGTCCCTTGCCCACCCTGAGATGGAATCACTTGTTTTTTTCTTGGTAATACATTTGAGTTCTCTGTGGATTCTAGTTATTAAACCTTTGTCGGAGACATAACCAGCAAATATCTTCTCCCATTCTAAGGGCTGTCTACCTGCTTTATTTACTGTGTTCTTGGCTGTGCAGAAACTTTTTAGTTTGATCCGGTCCCAAAAGTGTATTAAGCAAGAGTACAAGTGAATCTTTCTAAAAGCAGAGTATGAACGTTTTAACTCAATGACTAAGAAAATGACATGAGGATTATCTTGACCAGTTTGATGAGAGTATTTCAAGGTGTACGTAAAAGCAGCACACTGTACCCCATGATTGCATTAATGTACACAGTTATGCTATAAGAAATAAAAAAAAAAAAAGTTGTTACTATAAGGCCAGAGGTGGTGGCTCATGACTACAATCCTAACACTTTAGGAGGCCAAGGAGGGAGGATCACTTAATGTCTGAAGCACCAACAGTCAAATCCGTATGTAGCATCTCCATAGTACCTTTGAACCAAGCTATACCCTGTTCCTATGCATGTATATGTTATACTCTGCGTACGTACACTTAATACTTTTGAAGATAGGGCTAATAATGGTACTGATTGCATGGCATTTAATCTTACTAGGTGGTGGCTGCTTTAAGATAATTTCATACCTCTGCTTTAGTGTTTGCATTATAGAAGCATACTGACTCAGTTTCTTTGTGTGTGTACTCTCACAGTAGGCTATAGGTCTAGTGCTAGAGAAAGTAAATCTACAACATTAACTGTGCCAGAACAGCAAAGAACAACCCATCACCGCTCACGTTCAGTATCTCCTCATCGCGGCGATGATCAGGGAAGGCCGCGTTCACGTTTACCAAATGTGCCATTACAGAGGTAGGCTTTGCAATGGGCTCCATTCCCCTGAACCGTGTGAATTGCTGCAAGACTCTAACTGAAATAAAATGATAGTTTGGGCAGTAAAATTATTGTTTTCAGAATCATTTGTAAGCAGAATGCTTTTTTTCTTCTTTACCATACTTATGCAACAACCTATTCTTTACTCTCAAGAAATCCCCCAGGGTATAGAAGGTGTTTATTTCCCAAGCATAGTTTTTGAATAATTGCCTTGTGCT